AATTGCAGGGAAATACACAAACCTTCAGATATTTTATGAAAACTTAAAAAATATTCCATGAACTTCACCCAAGTCCAGATAATTTCAGGGAAGTTTAAAGGCGTTTATGAGAATTCCATTTATTTCAGAGTAGAAACGAGATCTTCAATAAATCTTCAGCAAAGCTCCGAGAAAATTTCTGGAATGCAATACAAATTATATGAACATCCGAAAAATGTGAGAGTATTTTAAGGGTGGTATATCATAGAAATTTCAAGATTAAAAAAAATGCGAAAATTTAGCTTAGGTGATTAGAGAACATCAACCAAGTTCCATTAATTCAAAAAATGCAAGAACTTTTAGTAAGCACCGATATCTTCAAGAAATTTAAATATTTTTACATAGTTTCATGATTCTCAGCGAAGTTCCGAGTACTTTGACGACGATCAGATAGTTACAGAACAATCCTATTAACTTAAGGAAATTTGCAGTGACTTGCAAGGAGTTCCGTGGAATTATGCGATATTCAGAGAATTCTATGATTGATCCCGTAAACTTCAAAAGCGTAAGGGAATTATGAATATATATCAGAAAATTTTCCGGAAAATTATACATATTAAGAGAATTTCAGGTAAGCACAGAAAACTTCAGGGACTTCCAGATAAGTTTAGGGAAAATAAGTGATTTGAAGCAAAGTTTTGTGAGCGTTTATAAAGTTTATAAAACATATGAAAAATAGTGGAACCAACACAATTACATTAATTTCAGTAAAACTGCGGGTTCTTATAACCAATTCTGAGAAATTCAGGGCAGTTTAGAGAACTTTAAAGAAATTATGAAATATTTTGAGCAGTTTTAATAGCATCAGGAAAGTCTAGAATATTGAAGAAGTTATGATTAAGTGTTGAAAATTTAAGTGCAGCTTAATGAACTCCAGAAAAATCTTGAGAACTCCAGTGAAAATCATAGAACTATATTAATCATTTCGTTTTGATTCCAAGAAAATTGTGGTAGCTTAAAATCCACAAATTTCTGAGAAACTTCGAAAGCTTCACAGAAGTGCTGAGATCTTCAGAAACATTTCGAGAACTTCATAGAAGTCTATGGAACTTAAAAGAAGATCAGAGAACTTCATGAACTTGCTTGAACATAAGCAAAATGCAAGAGCATTTCAATTAAATTTAACAAGCTCCAAAAATTGGGGAAGCCAGTTCCGTTAGTTTCAGAAAATTAACGGGAAATTTGAAGAAGATGTTCAGAAGTTCACGGAAGATTAAACATTTTTAGGACAAGTGCAATTAACTGAAATTTATCGAGAACTTCAGGAAAAAACAGAGCAACGCAGAGCAGTTTCGTTAACATCAAAGAGATCAAAGACGTTTCGAGAACTTCAGCGAAATTTTAAAATATTAGTGAAAATCCACGATCGTTAGAAAAATTGAGAAAACTTTAGGAAGTCCGAAATAGTTCTTTTGCCAGTGGTGGCGGCGGGTGATACCCCTCACCATCCCTCACCAAAAGGGCAGTTTGGTAAAGGAGATGATCAATCCGATTCGTGCCTTCTTCAAAATTGACGATTGCAAGCTTTCTACTCTCTATATACAATTTTCACACTGCCGTACTCTAACGGAACTATCATCACTATACTTTCATCTCCTTATCTATCGTATAAAATGACCACTCAAGTCTGATATTTGACATTAATCATTTCCAACTAAGTTCAGGGAAGTTTTAAAATTGAATGAGAAGTATTGTGAGCATCAGGCTAGTTTCTCAAACTATAAAAAAAAATCAAGGCAGTTCCATTAACTTTCAGTCCATATTCAACGCAGATTTCTCATAAAAATTCACTGGAAGTTGGTCTCAGCATTCACTTTGATCGGAAACTCTCATGAAATTATTCTAGAAATTCACTTGGAACGCTTTTCTGAATTCTGTAAAAAATATCACCAGCATATACTTAGAAAACTTCTCGCAATTCCATTGATATATTCCTCAAAATTTCCTTCGAACTATCATCCGAATCAAATTTTCCTCGGGATAACTTTGAAATTCTCCTCAGTAAAAAACCCTTTGGCAAGATACTCAGTATTTTCATTGAATACAATTCAGATTTCCGTTAGAATCTCACTCCTTCCCTTAGAACTCCATTCATATTGAAAGTTTCCTAAGAATTCATTTGCATTTGTCCACACAAATTCCTTATGTTTCTCCTCATAATTTGTTTGGTAAACTCTCCAGGAATTTTTTCTCGAATTTCTTTGAATCCTCCTTTTAGCATCCCTCTCACCATTTAAGTATTCTCCTAAAACTTCCAAGAACTTATGCTCCGGATTCGTTTTCTCTCACAAACTTCATTAAATTATCCTCAGAATGGTCTTGGAATTTTCCTCTGAAGTTCACAGGAGTCCTGCTCCTCAGCAATTTATACGAGTTTTCATTAAAATTTACTTTCAATTCAAGTAAGGGTTTTCTTGAAATTATACTCTAAACTATCTCAGTCTTCACATGAAATCTGAAACTCCTCAGGATTACCTTGAGGTTTTTCTCATGTTTTTCCCAGAACTCCCTTGGAATTAGATCATTAGAAATTATAATAAAATTCCATGAGCTTTTACAACTGTGCAAGGAATTTGACTCCAGATTTATGAAACTTTCTTGAAGTATTATAACTTTTAAATTCAGAATTAAAAAAAAAACTTGTTAAAATTTAAAAATTTGTGGAAAATATTAGTGGCGTCGCGTCAACATATGCAACCTGTGCACGGCACAGGTGTAAATAATTGAAAAAAAAAGCGATTTTTATTAAATTCAGTTCGGATGGTCTGCCTAACCCCTAATGCATTGATTTCTAAGCATGTCGAAATCACTACCATGACAAAACTCGTTAAATAGTGCACCTAAAAGAGAGCTTTTTTGGGTGGCGGGTGGCAAGTTTGTAAATGGTCAAATGCCTGATGTAAGCAAAGCAGACCTTCTATCACCTCTTGAAACATACCAGAAATTTCCACAATACATGGCGGTTTGCACCATTAGTTGTAATTGAAACTTTCAGCAGTCACGCGTCAAACGGGAGCAACACGGAAACAGCAGTCTGGTACGCTTTGGACGTTATCATATTTGCAGACCGTTTTGAATGTGTGAGAACATTTGTGATGTATGGGTGCCTAAAGCGTGCATTTCTCGCTGTGCACTTGGATATCTGATTGCAGGCGAAGAGAGTAATGGAGAGAGAGAGAGCGCTCTAACTCTCTTGTCAGTTGTAAATCTCTCAATTCTGATGGTTGTGCTGGTGCGCCTGTCAAAACTTATGAGCTTCCCCTGGTTCATTCTAATAGTGTTGTTCTGATGAATTAAGGGTTGATTAATTCAAGTTTGCTACCCAGTGGACTTCATGAAATTTTCTCTAGATTTTGACACTGTTGTGTACCAAACAATATTTTCGGAAGTGTTTGACGGATATCCTTCCTTAAACTTCAGTCGAAAGAGTTAGCATTGTGATAAAAACGAGAATTAGTAAAGTTTTGCAATTCCTCCTACTTCGGCTAGCTCGAAAAGGGCTATATATACAAGTTTTGTTTACACAAGATGATAGGCCCTTCAAATGTTACGTTAGGTAGTGATTAATATAGTATTTGAGAATATGTCCCTCGAATTGATTTCCCGGGTTTTCAGGTAGTAGACACTCTGGTTAATACAGTGGGTTGAGTCATAAGCTTTCTATTAAATCTGAGCGACTACTTTTCTTCTCTTAGGTAACTTTTTAGTCACTTTTCTTTACAACTGTAAGCCACTATTTGGTCACTTATTTCTCCAACATGTTCTTTAATATCACTATTTTTGACATCATTATTGCTACCGGCTCCCTAATATAGATACAAGCAGGGTTACTTCCACTCACTTGCTATAAAAAATTGTTTTTCCGAATTATGAAAACATTAGATGTTATAGTGATAATTAGTACTTGTAAGTTACAAGAAGGCGTCGTGAAGAATGTGTTTGCTACATAAAACCTGTCAAATTTGCTTTCAGAGCGTCACAATCAGCGATCTTATGATACGCGAGCGTTCACTCAGAGTGACAGGTTTTATGTAGCAAACACATTCTTCACGACGCCTTCTTGTAACTTACAAGTACTAGTTATCACTATAACATCTAATGTTTTCATAATTCGGAAAAACAGTTTTTTATAGCAAGTAAGTGGAAGTAACCCTGGATACAAGTTGGGATTGTCCAATCACTAATTTTTAATTTTACATAAACCCAACCGGAAGATGTACTATTCTATTAGAGATTTGGATGAAAAGTATCAGAGTTGGTTGGAAATGCTAACATGAAGCTTTAGTGTGATAATTTATTAGCTAGATAATGATCTTTAGAAGAGGGTAGGTGGATAGTTCCGTTAGAGTATGGCAGTATGAAAATTGAATAGAAGTTGAAAATGAGCGAGGGCCATTAATGCGACAGTTTTTAAAAAGAATGAAGTAACATAAAAACACTTTGAATGAAAAGTATATTAGATTATTGTTCGAACAAAGTTTGTTTCCCCAAATGCATTGTGTCTAGAAAATCTTCTCCTAAAGGTTATATACAAAAATATGCATTCTAAAAAACTTGCTTGTCTGCTGCAGTCCATTGCAAGACTGCCTTTACATTTGTTGGATGAAACCTTGCAGAGGATGTAATAAATCCAACCTTACATTGGAAGTAAGAGACATTTGTTTTGGTGTATAATTGATTATTAATTATATCTACACGAATACACATCTGCCGAATGTTCTACATTAAACGTTCGCTATCTGAAAGGATCGTCTACCCTTTATGGTTGTAGAAAATAGATAAGCTGGAATTTTTAAAACTACCCAATGAGGGTGAAAAGGTCATCTAGCTTCAAAGTAAATACCTTGGCTATAGCTGATATTACTCAATTTAGGTTGTACTGCATTGTTTGCAAACACTCACCTGTTCTATAGTAAAACTAACCAATATTCATTATTTGCTTTAACATATTCCACTAGCAGTACGTGATCTGAAACGAAAATGGAAATACCTACGAGACCAGTTCCGGTCTGAGTGCAAGAAAATCCCCATCGAGCGGGCAAACGAGACAGGTTTCTGCGAAGCCGAATTGGAAACCTACTCCTGCTGGCCATACTTCAAGGCACTGCTATTTCTGAAGGATCAAATCAAGTGTCGCGATTTTATAGGAAATTTGGATGGAAAGCGGATTGCCGTGGATGCTATGGAGAGGCTCGAATCCGAAGCAGAATACGTTGAAACGAGGGTCAACTGCGAAAAAATAGACAAACCTGTAATTGCTGGCATCCGTGTAAACCAGGACGATGAGACGAGGGTCAACTACGGAAAAATAGAAAAACCTATAATTGCTGGGATCCACTTAAACCAGGACGAAGATGAAGCTTTCTTCTACAGTTTGTTGCCACATATCCGGAAGCTAGAACCCGCTCAAAAATTACTGTGCCGAATGGAGCTTCAGAGTGTTGTGTTCAAACACGTGTATCAGAGACAGGAGCCGCGAGTAGTTCAACAGCCATATAATGTGGAACACCTGGTTGTAGAAGAGCATCCCGTGGAAACTAAAATTGAAATCTTTGATAATCCTATTTAAAATGTTTTCCGTAATGCTACATTTTCGAATAAACCATACCATCATTTACTTAGAAACCATCATCTTAAGATTCGAAAAATCCGAATTGACCATGAGTGGAACAGCCAACGTTGGGAAAATATTGTTCGAATGTGATTATTCGGAAGACAAGACGCATGGTTTATTTATTTTGAGCAGTATCGATTTTCTTTTACTCTTGCCGGACCAACTCGTTCGTCCGTCAGCTTTTGCATCCCATATCGACCGACGGCGACGGGTACTGTTTGCTGGCTGGTATCAGTGGGACCTAGTGGGACTAGGTCGCAACGACGGACGGTTGTTCTTACGGCTACCAATACTACTAGACCCTATAAAAGGTGATGACTTACGGTTCACTGTATACTTTCGTGTTATTATCGTGACAGCAAAGTCCTATAGTACATAGCACATACGCAAAGATACGCTAGAGGCACTGCTATGACTGAGTATAGTAGTAGGTATGTAGGTGGTAGTTGCTGTATTCTTTCGTGTACTCCCTGGCTGGGTGGGTGATGATGAAACCCGAATGAGTAGGTGGCCAGAAAAAGCCCAAGCTTTCGAGTACGAGCAGGACAGAAGATAGTACGGGAAACATAATAGCACGTAATACATATACAAGGATCTGTTTTTTCATCACGTTTGTTTCTTTTACGATCGTGTTTCTGACGGTACGTGGTGAAAATGCTGTATTGCTGAATGCAAAGAGGAACTTGTTCCGTGCGAACCCAAGAAGAAGAGAAAATACATAAAAGAAGGAACATTGAGCTTTTCGGTTGGTTTCTGCTGACCGACGGCTAGTGGTACCAGGGACATACATTTTTTTGTTGTTCTACATGGCCGTTGAAGCTCACTCTAATTTGAGTTCCGAATAGTCGAATTCGCAAAAACCACGATCACTGGACTGGGTACAATTTTCCTCGGTTTTCCTCATATTCGAGACGATTTTATTCAGTCTAAAAGTGACCGTGGCTTTTGCGAATTTGAGTAAGCGGAACTCAAATTAGAGTGAGATTCATTCAATGGCCATTTATGAAAATATCAACGGACTCAAAACGGTCGGATGTGATATGGCTACTTATGAACAACTGATATTAGCTACGTTTCTAAAGAACATTGTTATTAGCGCCATGTTTTTTTACTGGGACCTTGGGGACAATTTGACGAGTGTATCCCATTAGGCATAAATACGTTAGGCATAATGGACGTTAGGCATAATGGACGTTAGGCATAAAATACCTTGCTGCTGTGCAACTCTAGAAACCTGTTTCGAGCATGGCAAACAATGCTTAAATTAGGCTAAGCGTTGAATAAAAAATGATACAAGTTAAACAAACATAGATTAAGCACAGTTTGGAATCCATTATTTATCACATCATAAGTGACGTAGCTACATATTTACTTAGATCCAAGATTAGTAGCGATAGCGGTTAAGTAATCTGGCAATGAAAACTCAGCATAGTTTGAACTATATCTTGAAATCAATCGCATCGAGAAATTAAAACATTTGTTGTAATATATTCTTACACACATATTGCAATTGTCAAAGAAGAAAAGTTTTTCCTCAAAGAACAGCTCATGAAATAAAGAATGGTGAATTGTGTGATTTTTCATTCAATAACAAAAAAAAAACAGCTTAGGTTGAATAAAATATGATGCCAAAGAACAGCTCATGAAATGAAGAATAGTGAATACTGTAGTTTTTCATTCAATAACAAAAAAAAAACATATTCCAGGATTTCCTGCCATGCTTTTCGATACAATGATTCTGTTTTTGTTATCATCAGAATGAAAACTAGCGGAACCGTCTGCTGATGTGAGGGAGCGATACTTCCATGAACAAAGACGAGTTGCCGAAACAAACAAGGAACTGTGGCAAACGTACCATCTGTAACCAAATACTTTGCCTGTCCAAGACGTCGCAAGTTTTCATGAGTTCCTAAAATTAAGGCTCTTTCATTATTGTCACCGAAGTCAGCAATCAATAGACGGTCCCCATTATCATCCTTCTGGAATTCATCGGGTAGATTATGCGTAGCGTCCATTATGCCTATCGTACATTATGCCTATCGTATATTATGCCTAACGTCCGTATGCCTAACGTCGTGTACCCCAATTTGACCCCAGGTCACTTTGACAAACTAGAACCGTTTTTCGTTTGCACGCTTAGAAATTCAGTACCCGTTCGATTTTTGGCAACAAGCTCGAAAATTTAGAGTTGTCTAAATGTACTACTGTGCCGGATTTAGTTTAAAATTTAATTGATGATTTCGTTGATTTTGGACCACCGTGAGGCATCTTTATGACATAGACGTAATCAATAATTAATCACAAGGAGCAAAAATACATTATTTTCATAATCCGGTTTTGTGGTTTTGTTGGCAAAATCAAACGGGTACTGTTATAAACGACTTCGTTAATTTATTATTATTATTATTTATTAGTGACACTTTATAACTTCTGCGAAATTCGTGTCGTCGACTTTGTTAATGTTTTACTGAACGTTCGGTATAAAAACCTTCATTTAAATACTTATTGCACCAAATTTAATTCTCAGCCTTGTTAAAATATTCAAATCTGGCCATTATGGTAAAGTTTTCCTTGAAAACATGCAAACCAATAAATTAAAATGCTTGATTTTTACCGAACAGTTCAACTGTTGAATGTTCAGTAAAAATGACCGAAGTCGGAAATCATTTCTGATTGGGTGACAATTAATTTGTCTAATTTTGCACCATAGCTCAAGATGGAGAAATTATGGACAAAAAGTTTTGATTTTTAAAAAAAACTCAAGATTTTAGAGAAAAAATAATTATCCAAAACTTGGTCCAATTACTATTTTGACTTTATATAATGAAAGTATACCAAATTTACAATACAAAATTAATTAGTTAATGAAGAATAATCAGCAAGCAACTATTCATCCATTTATCATTTATTTTAAACATGAAGGAAACATTGATCATTTATGTTACGTAGTAATTTCAGAAGATTTGTGCCTGTATCTGTAAACTTATTTATCTCAAAAATGATTACTTTTCTACGTACAGAACAGCAGTTAACTGTGAATAAAATTTATTTCATGTCTGACGGAGCTGCATCCCAGTATGAAAATCGCAATTTTTTTCTAGTCTTTGCCAATTTAAGAAATAATATGAAATAGAAGTTGAATGGAATTTTTTCGCAACATCGCATGGAAAAGGTTCATGTGATGCTATAGGAGGAACACTGAAACGTACACACTTAGAAATTATCGCCAACTTCGGTAATTTTTACCGAAATCTGAACAGCTGAACTTTTCGGTAAAATTTAAGCAATTCAATTCAATTGCTTTTCAGCTACTTTGAAACTTAAGGTGATACTCTAAGGAAGCCTTAGCGTGAAACTTTAAAGGCACAAATGTCAGCTTCCACAAAACATACAAATTTGAAATTGCTACTCCTTTTTTGCTGTGCTACTACAAACAGAGAGTAGCAATTTCAAATTTGTATGTTTTGTGGAAGCTGACATTTGTGCCTTTGAAGTTTCACGCTAAGGCTTCCTTAGAGTACCACCTTAATCTCCACTAAAATGACAAGATTTGACCATTTAAACAAGGTTGAACATGTTTTGATATTATTTTCAAATTCAATAGCCTTTAAAATGAAGGTCAAAGTTTTACCGAACGTTCAGCTATTCTGATTTCGGTAAAATTTACCGAACACCGAAACAAAATCTTATGGTGGTAAGCTCCAACCGGTATTATCCTCGGATTAAATCCCGATCAAGAATGTCCGGCTGGTTTGATGTCGACATCAGAGTTAATCAACATAATTCTGAGCAAACATTTTTCAGATCATACAAACAGGGACGGTATTAAAAGTTAATCCGAGTTGGAGCTTACCGCCATTAGTGTGTATGGCTACCAGAGCTAGTCTAGCTACACACTAAGATATTGTTTACGTGTTCGGTAAAATTTTACCGAAATCAGAACAACTGAACGTTAGTTAAAACTTTGAGCTACATTTTAAAGTCCCTTGAATTAAAAAAAAAAATAATTTCAAAACATGTTCAGCCTCGTTGGAATGATCAAATCTTGTCATTTTAGTGGAGGTTTAGTTTCAAAGTAACTGAAAAGCAATTGAATTGAAATGCATAAATTTTACCGAACAGTTCAGCTGTTCAGATTTCGGTGAAAATTACCGAAGTCGGCGATAATTTCTAAGTGTGTAGAGAACGTGAATATCCGATAAAAAAAATGCAAGGGAACTATACGATTGGGCTCAGAAGCGAAACGAGGATCAGCTGCCTCAAAATTTCTTTTGTTATGCAACTACTGAAGAATTTGAAACTCATACGCACGAGCTCAACGAACAATTTTTTTTCCTCTGTTCGGGACCTAACACGACTGCGACCAGTAAATTGATCTATTGTAGTATATCCCGTGTCCTTAGTTTATTTTTTTTTTGTTTATTTATTTATTTGATAAGGCTCAACCGAATTAACTTTACAGAGCCGAGGATTCTTGGTCACTATACAATACATCTTAAAACTATAGTACAACACAATAAACACGTTATCTTCCGCTATCCAAAAAGCCTCCTCCATCAGAACGGGATCCGCTTCCAGTAGTTTCATTGTATGGCAAATTGTTGTACGCCAACGAGGGTCAGAGCGCGTCCATTGTAGCAATGGACGCAAAACGTGGTCAGCACTCACACACTCATCACGAAACGGTTGCTTTCCAAAGTCGACGACGCATCGACCGAAAGAACTGCTGATGAAGAACAATGAGGAGGACCACACAATGGTTGCTGCCGAGAAAACAGACGATCGCGTAGCACACATCGAGAGTGGCCTGCTTTTGTCGACAGCCGAGTGAACACTGTGTCCTTAGTTTAGTGCTTGTCGTATTACTCCATCACTATTGAGAAATCATGAAGAGTATTCGATTTTTTTTACAGTTGCCACTCTTGCATTTATCGCAAGGATCCGACTCCAATTGAAAGGTCCCGCTATTTGTACCCTTCGGAGTGTTGAAACACCCTCC